ACCATCTACATGTTTTGTTAGTCTTTAAAGTACTATTAGATTAATATTAAACAGTACACAGTTGCTGCTGAAATTTTAAAGAATGTCAAATCCCTTAGCTAGTGGAAGTCACTGACTAAGCATCTGCCACCAGCAAGTGCTAAACCAGCTTTTGACAGCTGGTGATACTTTCTTCCATTTAACGGAATGAGCCCCTGTTTGAAGGGAGAGTGGATTTTACCCCAGAGAATCAGCATTCAGCAGGGAATGAAAAGCTGCACTTGCCAGGTCATAGAATCATAGAACTATAGAGCTGAAAGAGACCTCAGGAGGTCATCAAGTCCAGCCCCCTGCTTGAGGCAGGACCAATCCCAACTAGATCAACCCAGCCAGGGCTTTGTCAAGCCGAGACTTAAACACCTCTAGGGATAGAGACTCCACTACTTCTCTAGGGAACCCATTCCAGTGTTTCACCACTCTCCTAGTGAAATAGTTTTTCCTAATATCCAACCTGGACAACTCCCACCACAACTTGAGATCATTGCTCCTTGATCTGCATCCGTCACTACTGAGAACAGCCTTTCTCCATCGTCTTTGGAACCTCCTTTCAAGAAGTTGAAGGCTGCTATCAAATCCTCCCTCACTCTTCTCTTCTGCAGACTAAACAGACCCAAGTCCCTCAGCCTCTCCTCATAAGTCATATGCTCCAGCCCCCTAATCATTTTGGTTGCCCTTTGCTGGACCCTCTCCAATGCGTCCACATCCTTTTTGTAGTGGGGGGCCCAGAACTGGACACAATACTCCAGATGTGGCTCACCAGAACCGAATAAAGGGGAATAATAACATCTCTGGATTTGCTGGCAATGCTCCTCTTAATGCAACCTAATATGCCTTTAGCCTTCTTGGCTACAAGGACACACTGTTGACTCATATCCAGCTTCTCATCCACTGTAACCCCCAGGTTCTTTTCTGCAGAACTACTACTTAGCTGGTTGGTCCCCAGCCTGTTACAATGCTTGGGATTCTTCTGTCCCAAGTGCAGGACTCTGCACTTGTCCTTGTTGAACCTCATCAGATTTCTTGTGGCCCAATCCTCCAATTTGTCTAAGTCACTCTGGACTCTATCCCTGCCCTCCAGCGTATCTACCTCTCCCCCAGCTTAGTGTCATCTGCAAACTTGCTGAGGGTGCAATCCATCCCCTCAGCCAGGTCATTAATAAAGATATTGAACAAAACCAGTCCTAGAACCGAACTTTGGGGCACTCCGCTAGAAACCGACCGCCATCCTGACATCGAGCCGTTGATCACTACCCATTGGGCCCGGCCTTCTAGCCAGCTTTCTAGCCATCTTACTGTCCATTTATCCAATCCACATTCCCTTAACTTGCTGGCAAGAATATTGTGGGAGACCGTATCAAAAGCCTTGCTAAAGTCAAGGTATATCACACATCCACCGACTTTCCCATGTCCACCGAGCCAGTTACCTCATCATAGAAGCTAATCAAATAAGTCAGGCACAACTTGCCCTTTGTGAATCCATGCTGACTATTCCTAATCACTTTCCTCTCCTCCAAGTGCCTCAAAATGGATTCCTTAAGGATCCCTTCCATGATTTTTCCAGGAACCGAGGTAAGACTGACCCGCCTATAATTCCCTGGATCACCCTTTCTTCCCTTTTTTGAAGATGGGCACTACATTCGCCTTTTTCCAATCATCCGGGATCTCTCCCGATCTCCATGACTTTTCAAAGATAATGGTCAAAGCCTCCTCAATGACATTTGCCAACTCCTCAGATGCATTAAGTCCGGACCCATGGATTTGTGTATGTTTAGCTTTTCTAAATAGTTCCTAACCTGTTCTTTACTCACCAAGGGCTGTCCATCTTCATCCCATCTTGCGTCACTTAGCGCATTAGTCAGGGAGCCTACTTTGTCCATGAATACCTAAGTTACCTCCTTCATCCATTAGGGGCCGCACACCCTCTCTGATCACCTTCTTCTTGTTAACATTCCTGTAGAAACCTTTCTTGTTATCCTTCACATCCTTAGCCAGTCAGAATTCCATTTGCGCTTTCACCTTCCTGATAACCCCTTAGCATTCTCGAGCTATACATTTAAACCCCATCCCTGGTCATTTGTCCAAGTTTCCACTTTTTGTAAGCTTTCTTTTTGTGCTTAAGTTCACCAAGGATTTCCCCTGTAAGCCAATCCGGTCTCGTACCATGTTTGCCTTTCTTGCTACGCATCGGGATGGTTTCTTTCTGTGCCTTCAATAAGGCTTCTTTAAAATACTGCCAGCTGTCCTGGACTCCTTTCCCCTTCATGTTAGCATCCCAGGGGATTCTGCCCATCAGGTCTCTGACGGAGTCAAAATCTGCTTTTCTGAAGTCCAAGGTGTGTATTTTACTACTCTCTTTTCTTCTTTTGGTCAAGATCCTGAAATCTACCATCTCATGATCACTGCTTCCCAGGTTGTCACCCACCTCTACTTCCCCTGTTAGTTCCTCCCTGTTTGTGAGCAGAAGGTCAAGCTGCGCACAGCCCCTGGTTGGATCCTTCAGCACTTGTACCAAGAAGTTATCCCCAACATTCTCCAAAAACTTGTGAATTGCCTGTGTACTGCCGTATTGGTTTCCCAACAGATGTCAGGGTGATTGAAGTCCCTCACGAGAACCAGGGCCTGCAATCTGGAAGGTTCTTTCAGTTGTCCGAAGAAAGCCTCATCTACCTCATCCACCCGATTCTGTGGCCTGTAGTAGACACCAACCACAACATCACTGCTGTTGTTTGCACCTCTAAACTTAACCCATAGACTCTCAACAGGTTTTTCTCCCTCTTCATACTGGAGTTCAGAGCAATCATAGTGCTCTCTTACATATAGTGCAACTTCTCCTCCTTTTCTCCCCTGCCTGTTGTTCCTGAACAGTCTGTACCCTTCCATGATAGCGCTCCAGTCATGCAAGTCATCCCACCAAGTCTCTGTTATCCCAGTTAAATCATATTTCTTGGACTGGGCCATGGCCTCCAGTTCTTCCTGTTTGTTGCCCAGGCTTCTCGCATTAGTGTACAAATACTTCAGATAACCGGTTGATCGCCCTATCTTCTCCATTCGAATCAGGGTCCTCCTTTCTTGCTCATTCCTTCCTGTATTCTTTCCTGGTATCCGACTTTCCCACTCCCCTCAGGGTTTTGGTCACCATCCCCCAACGAACCTAGTTTAAAGCCCTCCTCACTAGGTTTGCAAACCTATCCGCGAAGATGCTCCTTCCTCTCTTGGTTAGGTGGATCCCATCTCTTCCTAACAATCCTTGTGTCTGGAACAGAGTCCTATGGTTGAAGAAACCAAAGCCCTCTCTGCGACACCACCTGCACAACCATGCATTTACTTCCTCAATTTGACGATCCCTGCCCAGACCTTTCCCTTCAAAAGGGAGGATGGATGAGAACACCACTTGCGCTCCGAATTCTTGGGTCCTTTTTCCCAGCGCTACATAATCTGCAGTAACCCGCTCAGGGTCATTCTTGGCCGTATCGTTAGTTCCCCCGTGGAGAAGCAGGAAGGGGTAGCGATCTGAAGGTTTGATCAGTTTGGTAAGCCTCTCAGTCACATCCTGAATTTGAGCTCCCGGTAAGCAGCACACCTCTCAAGATTTCAAGTCCAGATGGCAGATGGAAGGCTCAGTCCCTCTTAGGAGGGAGTCCACAACCATCACCACCCGTCGTCTTCTTTTGGGCGGGGGGTCGTGGAACCCCCATCCCTAGGACTACGCATCCCATCCCTTCCAGTAGATGGTGTTCCTTGCGGTTTCTTCCTTGTGAGGTCCCTTCCAACGCATTCACCACCACAGAGCCTGTTTGTCCCTGTTCTCTATAGTAGTGTTTCTCACCCTTTTAGGGTGTGGGGCTCTGAGGCTTCAGCCCTCCTCTAGATGCAAGGTTCTGAACTTCAGCCCCACTTTGGACTTAGGGCTTCAGCCCCCATGCTGCTTTCAAAGCTAGAGGCTTGCCTTCAGTCCCTCCACTGACCATGAAGCTGTGACTTCAGACCCCCTGACTCTGATGCCTCTCTCCACACCTAGCGGTATGGAATTAACATGTTAAAAATGAATGCCTTAATTTAGTTTTCAGTCATTCACAGGCATTAATTGTGATTGATTGACAGTCCTACTAACTAGGGGTGATACTTGCTCTGTTTAATAAATTAGTTAATTTTAGATGTAAAATGTGTTAAATTTTGTATTATATATCTCCAGGACATTTAAAGTAGTTTTATTAAACTAATTAGAAAAAAAAAGTAAAACCAGCCTTTGGTCATTTTCAGCTGAATATTGATTTCCATTCAAATAGAGCTTGACGTAAGTCACAAGTAAAAAAAATTAATAATCTTCTAGTAAATACAAAAAGGCATCATTTACCATTTCTAACATAATATCAGTAAAAATAATCTGTATAAACCTTTACAACTGCTTAAATTTTGACAGAGAAAGATATAGGGTATTATCCTGGTTAGCAAAAAGAAGTACCAAGTTTAGTGTAAGAGTATATTTCGTTGCAGAGCAACATAGTTTTATCAGTCAATGAGAATCAACTAAAAAGTACAAAATCAATACATGATTCAAATTGATTTAATTCCGTTTCCTGTTTGCTGATTTAAATAACGATAAAAAATTATGATTTAAATTGTTCTGCCTTAGATCTATCCACTGTCATATATAACTACAACAGATCAATAGGCAACCTCTGTGGAGCAGATTACGCCACATCTACTTACTACGAGGTTCTGGGTTTGCTTCTGAGTCACCTGGTGTTGGCCATTTTCCGAAATAAGATACTGAGGTAGAGGAGCCATGTATGTTTCTGTGTATTGACCTTAGTGGAGAACAGATGAATCTGTTATCAGTTAATCAGTTAATCAACTATACTATTACGTTCCTAAATGGAATATGTAGGATATGGAAGTACAACAATTTATTGGCAAAATATTATGCAGGAACATAATTGTGTAAAAAAATCTTTTCTCTTTTTTCTGCTTTCCAGGTGAGCTTCAATCCCCAGGATAACACCCAGGTTTGTATAACTGGAAATGGCATTTTTAAGCTTTTCAGATACACTGAGGGGACTTTGAAACAGACCAACTTTCAGAGAGGAGAACCTCAAAACTACTTGTCGCATGCCTGGCTCTCCGAGGACAGGGTAATGGTTGGCACTGACACAGGCAAACTCTTTCTTTTTGAGTCAGGAGATCAGCGCTGGGAAACAAGTATAGAATGTAAAGAACCTCCCAGTGAAGTGGTAAAGGACAAGGTGCCACATGAATCTGAGAGGTAAATCTTGGTGATTACTGATAGTCAATCTCATGAGTAAAGATTCTTCACATCCTAGACTAGGTCCCTCGGGTGTTAATAGGGAAGGAATGGATGAGGCTTTTCCGTATTGCCTGTAACAGAGTGCATATTCACTGCCATGGCACCTCCTGCTGGTCACTCAAGGAATTAGCTCTTCAGCCCTGGAGCGCCCCCTTCTGGCCAGTGCCATGCCTGCTGTTACTTTCATTCTTCACCACTTTGTATTAGGACCCACATCCTTCCCATACAGCAGCATCCTCTTCTGTGGGAACTGCCCTGCTGCAGTGCCCCCACACTCGAGCCCTGCTTCCCAGGGACCCCCCCCCAAACCCTTACTCCTATCATGCCCTAGTGACCCTAATGCCAGTCATCATCCAGTCCTTTACCTCAGGGGCAAACTGCTACCTGAAATGGCCACTCATCATTGGCAAGGGGATGTGGACCAGCTGCCTTCTCCTGCCCTGGCTACTCCCTGCAGCCCTGTTACCCTCAGGCCTTGCCTCAGGCCCTGCAACATGGGAATTTGCCTGGCCAGAGCTTCCCAGCTCTGCCTGCCTTTTCCCAGCCCTGCTCTGTCTCAGGAAGCCTCTAGCTTCCCTGTCAGACAAGTCCTTCCTGCTTCCCAGCTGGAGCTGAGTGAGTGAGTGTCTCTGCCCTTTCAGGAGCCCTTATTTATACAGTCCCAGCTGGGCCCTAATTTACTGTATTTACCACAGCTGCTTGCTCCACAGCCCCAGCCCTTTCCCAGGGCTGAATAAGAACATAAGAATGGCCGTACTGGGTCAGACCAAAGGTCCATCTAGCCCAGTAGCCTGTCTGCCGACAGTGGCCAGCACCCGGTGCCCCAGAGAGGGTGGACCGAAGACAATGATCAAGAGATTTGTCTCCTGCCATCCTTCTCCAGCCTCTGACAAACAGGCCAGGGACACCATTTCTATCCCCTGGCTAATAGCCTTTTATGGACCTAACCTCCAGAAAATTATCTAGCTTCTCTTTAAACTCTGTTATACTCCTAGCCTTCACAGCCTCCTCTGGCAAGGAGTTCCACAGGTTGACTACACGCTGTGTGAAGAAGAACTTTCTTTTATTAGTTTTAAACCTGCTACCCATTAATTTCATTTGGTGTCCTCTAGTTCTTCTATTTAGGGAACTAATAAATAACTTTTCTTTATCCGCCCTCTCCACACCACTTATGATTTTATATACCTTTAACCCTTCTTTAGTCAGTGGGGGACAGATGCCCCGTCACATGCCCTAATTGTGACTATATTAGGTTTCTCTGGTTGCTGCTGATTTTAATAACTTTCTTCTTATTTTAGCCTCTTTGAATTTCCTACTACCGGTTCTCCTGATCTCTCCAGTGAGATGCTCAGTGAAGCTGTTGGCCAACAGCAGGCTACCTTGCCTCAAGTCTCTGCCATTGCTGCCTATTCCAAAGGTTTTGCATGCTCAGCTGGGCCTGGAGTTGTTCTATTGTTTGAGAAGACCGAAGAGAGGGAAGGTTACAGGGAGAACCGAGAAATCCGGGTAAGTGAGAGACTGAATGGGGCAGAAAGGGCTTAGCCAAATACTTAAAAGGTTGCAGTTCTTAGACATTAGCCATTTAAATTTAAGAGCACATTTGTTTTACATTTGTTCCAGGTATTAGTACTAATAAATAATTCTATAGTGATGTTTATCTTTCAGTCACTTGACAGACATTAATCATAGTCCCATAACTGTTTGTTCAGCATTTATAGTAGGGGAAAAGACTTGCCCAAGGTCACAGAGAGAATTTAGTGACAAAGTCATTTTAAGAATATAAGAATGGTGATACTGGGTCAGACCAAAGGTCCATCTAGCCCAGTATCCTGTCGTCTGATAGTGGCCAATGCTCCTCTAATGACACCTCAATCTGGACAATTCCTTAGATTTGTCATTCTCAGGTTTGGGAATCTCCCTAACATCCTCATTCATGAAGACTGAAGCAAAGAATTCTTTTAGTTATTCCACAATGACCTCATTGTCTTTGAGTGTTCCATTAGCATCTTGATCATCCGAGGGCCCCACTGGTGGTTTGGCAGGCTTCCTGCTTTTGATGTACTTAAAAACATTTTCCTTTCTGTTTTCCTCACTATCATTTGACTTCTACTTTTTAAAAGATGTCTTTTTATCTGTCATTGCTTCTTTTACTCGGTTTTTGTTTTTTTACTGTGTTTTTTAATTTGGGGTATACATTATATGTTATATTATATATATTTTTGATGTTTTTAAGTTTCTACAGCCTCTCTAATCTACCTTAGTATTTCATAGTCATTATCGCTATCCTGGTCAGGTGGTCGGAAATATATCCCTACTGCATATTCATATTATTAGAACATGGAATTACTATCCATAGAGATTCTGTGGAACATTTTTATATCTAGAACTGGAAGGGACCTCAAGAGTTCATTGAATCCAATCTCCTGCCCTCATGGTAGGACCAAGCATTGTCTAGATCATCCCTAACACGATGTTCTTCTTCGGGGATGTCCCCGCGGGTGCTCCACTATGGGTGCTCTACTATGGGTGCTGGGCTTGCCCCGGCGCCGCAGACAGAAGCTTGTCATGAGCAGTGTTCGGCCGGACCACGCATGTGCCACGGGCTCACAGCTTTTGCGCTCTTTCTGTCGCGCGGTCCGGCCCCCCGCCAGTTCCTCTTCACCGCTTCAGGCTGCAGACGCTTGGAACTGCGCTCCTTACCTCACAGAACTAGACTGCTTCTAGTTCTCCTTTGTATATAAAATCCCCCTTTTCCTCCCTCTCCCTTCTCTTTCTCCAAAAACAAACAAACAAATAAACAAACAAACAAACAAAAAGTAAAGAGAGGAAGGACAAAGAAAGAACTATCGGGAGTAAAAACAGAAAAGAAAAGAAGCGGCAAGCTGCCGGTAAAATGTCAGGGACTGGGTTTAAAAAATGCTGCTCCTGCAGTTCACCTAAAAAAAAAAAAAGAGAGACTGTAAAGATAAAAGGAACAAAGATAGCAGGGCAGAGTCCTTACCATGCTATCAGCTTTCGACAACTACCTACTGTTTAAAAAGAAAAGAAAAGAAGCGGCAGGCTGCCGGCAAAATGTCAGGGACCGGGTTTAAAAAATGTGGCTCCTGCCGGGAGGCAATGCCAGCCTCCAACGGCCATGCAGAGTGTATCTGTTGCCTGGGGGAGTCTCACATCCCCCAAAAGTGTAACCATTGTTCAAGGCTCACCTCCAGGGCCAGGAAAGATAGGAAGAGGCATCTTCACATGCTCCTCTTCGACACAGCCCTGCAACCGCAGCAAGCTGACTCTAATCAGCAGCTATACAAACACCGGGCTTCTTCCCCCACTACGGGACTTCAGAAGAAACCAAGTCTGTCCCCAGCAAGATCCTTGCCAGCTGCCTTTAATGGCAGGGAGAACCAGGCAGAGACACCTGGGATGTCTGGCATTGTAAAGACACATCCCCCTGCCTCGGTGGCTTCAAAACCTAAGCGGCCACGGGAGCCTTCCCAAACACCAGTTCCCCAGGCGGCATCAGTTCAGCCGCTTCTTCCTCCTCCGGCGCCGAGCGCTGAGCCGGCGCCGAGAGCAGTCTCGGACCCGACCACGGCACCGGCCCTGACACCGGCCCCGGCACCACGTGAGTCACCGCGTGGTGCCGGATTACACGGCGCCGACCCGTTCCACTGCCGGCGCGGTGCCGATCGCTCCTGCCCTTCCGCACCATGAGCAGAGCAATTCAGCAGCTAGCGCTTCAGCGCATGCCACAACTCAACCACCCCGGAGCCCTGCTGCTCTCCATTCTCCACGCCGCCGCAGCTGCTCCCCCCCTTGCTTCCTCTCCCCGGCACGTCCTCTCCTCTGCCGGCACTCCGATCCCCACGCCGGTCTTCTCACCGGTACGGGTCTCCTCGTGCCTCTTCAAGACTGCCTTCCCTGTTTCTGGCTGCTGCATCTCCTCATCGCAGGCACCACTACAGACATCTCTTTGCCTCTCCTGCCTCCTCCAGGGCATCACACCTCTGTTCCTGTTCGCCCTGCTCCCCGTACCATTATCGGTATTGCAGCCGCTCTAGCTTCCATGATGACTGTTCACCGCGGCATGGCACATACCATCGTGACGACCGCGACTCTCGACATTCTCATAGCAAGTATTCTTGCTGACCACGATCTACCTTTGACTACGCTTCACGCAGGCGCTCTCCAACCCCGGCTCCCCTTACTCCTCCGCACCATGCATGATCACCATCTCACCATTCATCAGAGCCGGAACATACTCCCTTCGTGTACCATACCTTGGGGTCTTCCATCCCCGATTCATCTCCTCCGGAGGATGCAGTGATCCCCGGCGACAGCTCTCCACCAGAAGACCTCCGTCAGTTCCAAGAATTATTTAAGCGAGTAGCTATCACACAAGAGATTCCGCTGCAAGAGCTCAAAGATAAGCAACACAAGCTTTTCAGGAATCTCCAACCGCGGCATAGCTCACGCCTGGCCATCCCTCTGGACGAAGGCATCCTGGAACTGGCTGACGAAGTGTGGCATGCTCCAGCGTCGGCTCTCCCTACCAACAAAAGAGCCGACAAGAAATGTTTCGTGCCACCAAAGGGCATGGAATTCCTCTTTGCCCATCCACAGGCTAACTCCTTAGTAGTCGACGCAGCTCAACAGAGGTCTAGAGCCCCTCATCTCAAACACCAGGGGCTCCGATAGAGATGTAAAGAGACTTGCCCTCCTGGGCAGGAAGGTATACACTTCAGCGACTTTACTCCTCAGAATCACCAATTACTCAGCGCATCTCTCCAATCATACCTTTGATACGTTTTCACGCCTCACTCCCCTCATGGATCATCTCCCTGATTCAAAAAAATCGATCCTGAGATCAGTGATCCAAGAGGGATACACATCAGTGAGAACGTCCCTTCAAATAGCCATGGACGTCGCCGATACTGCTGCTCGCTCCGCTGCTACTGCCATTGTTATGCTCAGAGCTTCTTTCCTTCAAGCGGCAGGAGTTCCAAAGGATCTACAGACCAAAGTCGAGGACTTACCCTTCAACAAGGGGAAGCTCTTTTCAGAGACCACGGACTCAATCTTACACTCCTCTAAAGACTCTCGAACAACCTTGCGAACTCTGGGGATGTATACACCCCCCTTTAAGAGACGTCGGTACTCACCATATCAGCGCAGATATGATTACTCCTACATTAGACACCAGTGGCAACAACAGCACCAACAACAGAGGCCTTTTGACAACCAACGCTCTCGCCAGAGGCCTCAACGACGCCGAAACCCAACCGGCAGAACGAACATGCATCCCAACAGCAAGCAACAGGTTTGATGCGTTGGTCGAGGGCGAGCAGACAGTCACAGGCAGCACTGCGAATCGTCCAACCCAGCTATTCCACCACCGTCTAAGACCCTTTCTACATCAATGGGCAAAAATCACCACGGACAAATGGGTCCTCGAGATTGTTCAGTTTGGCTATCCTATCCCCTTCATAGCCATACCACCAACCACCCCTCCCATCCCGTCCCTCTTCAGGAACCCCTCTCACGAGACCTTCCTCCGACTAGAGGTCGACCGCCTTTTCTCTCTGGGTGCTATATAGCCAGTTCCAAAGGACTTCAGGAACAGAGGCTTTTACTCACACTATTTCCTCACCCAGAAAAGATCCGGAGGCTGGTGCCCTATCCTAGACCTCCGTCGTCTGAACAAATATCTCAGGAAACAATGATTCAGAATGACGACACTAGCTGCCATAATCCCTATTTTAAATCCACAGGACTGGTTTGATGCCCTCGACTTCCAGGACGCCTATTTCCACGTCCCTATCCACCCTGCTCACAGGAGGTTCTTGCGCTTCGTTGTGGCGGAGGACCATTTTCAATACAAGGTCCTCCCCTTCGGACTATCCTCAGCCCCCAGGGTGTTTTCAAAGGTCCTATCCGTGGTCACGGCCTTTCTCCGACGCCAAGGGGTACTCATCTTCCCTTGTCTGGATGATTGCCTGCTCAAAGGCCCTTCGGCACATGAGGTCTCCCACATGGTTCACCTCACGAGACAGGTCTTTCGATCGCTCGGACTCCTCCTCAACAAGCGGAAGTCTGTATTGCATCCCACTCAGGACATCGAGTTCATTGGAGCCCTCCTGGACTCACTTGCCGGCAGAGCGTTCCTACCCTCGCAGAGGTTTCAAGCCATCCAAGACCTCATTTGCACCATCACTGTGAGCCCTACCGTACCACTCATCACATGCCTCAGACTCATGGGCCACATGGCCCCCACAACGTACGTGGTGAAATACGCCAGACTACATCTGTGTGCCCTTCAGTACTGGCTGACCCTCGTATACCACCACACCAGATACGATCTCCACAGGCCGGTAACACCGCCACCTGGGGTTCTTCAATCACTCCTATGGTGGACCAGCCACACAAACCTGCTGTCAGGCGTACCATTCTATCCGCAGGAGCCTCTCCACCAAATCACAACTGATGCCTCCCTACTAGGTTGGGGGGCCCAC